GGGGTTTGTATTAGGAACCAAGTTTAGTATCCCAAGGCTATCTTTTCCTTATCTGGCTTTACTTATCTGGATAACTGTTTACAGATGATAACACTATATTACTGCTTATAGAACAATATAGGCACTTGTTTTACGATTACTTGCTGCAAATGGAGGGAAGAAAAATCACAGAGATGGCTCCTAAAAATGTATTTCTTTATTAATGCTCCTCAGCGAAAGCCAAAAAAGACATCTAGACCCTATTACTACATGCACAGTGAGGTCCATGGGCCATCGAAGGAATGAATTCACTATTTTAGGGTGAACTGACACTAAAAACCCCGGTGTTACCTTGCTAACCCCCTAAAACTTCTTCGTAGTAGAGCCCTCAGGTGTCTGATAGGTAAGTCACCAACACGCATTCTGAAGGAAGTTCCACCTCACACTGTTTCACTTAATTCTGCTGAGTAGAATGATGAATTCTCCACAACCTGTGTGTATAAAGGGAAGCAAGTGGGTGTGATGGATGAGCAGGAGACAGCTGTTTTTAGTTTTCCTTGGTTATGGGCTGGCTAACCATCTGAACTTCCTTCACACACGCAACAAATATGCAACTCAACAGCACACACAAAAGCAGACAAACATGGGTTTATAATTTCTTTGGGACCATAAAAAATTTGTCAAATCTGATCAGTGAAGTCATACGTTTCAATTATAATCAATTTCATTAATCACACACTCTCGTTTTGTTATGCTCAGCAGAATTACACATTTGGTTTACGGCAGTGCTGTAATGTCATGAATCGTGAGAATGTCAGATGATTCAGCAAAACCCGTGTTATACGGCTGCTTTCCTCAGTCGAACATGACATGGCTGAGCGCAGAGCTGCTGGATTATCTCCTTCCTCCGGAGTAAAGATGTGAAAGAACAAATAGACTCATGGAAAGGGGTTGAGAGTGGCAGGATCAAGTAAAAGGCAAGTGCTCTGTGTCTGTCAGAAGGTACTTACATGATCAAACAGTATTTGAGTACATCACTTGCCACCCTTCCTTAGTTCAGCCTAGGTTAAATAAAGGGAAACTGCTTTACAGTCTCTTATATAAAGTGGTAGGAGAAGTAGTCTTTTATTTTGTTTTTGTTTTTTTCCAGTGATGGCACCTGTCGCACTTTGATAGTTAAATCAAAACCGAAAACTTTTTCCTACCTTGGATAGTTTATCTTACTTTATCTTAACCAGCTGCCTTTCCGCCATGTACCTGCATCAGTAATTTCCATCCACCGTTTGCTCTTCCTGTCATACGGAGTGCTCTGAGTCACTTGTTTACATTTGGGTCGCGTGTCGGCAGCTGCTCGTATCTCCTCTTTACATACCTTCTTACCCCTGTTGCACACATTGGCGTGTTTTCCCCTTAACCCTTTAAAGCCGGTCGGAGCGGACACGCTCCATTTTGCGTAACTATTTTAAAATCCCGGTAGCTCTGCAACCACGTAAGCTAGCGCAATACTTTTTTTTTTGCATATGAAACCGGAGGAGTTGTACTTACATCTTATGCCATCAGCTTGTCCTAGGTCACAGTTTCCTTCCACATATAGCTTTGCAAAAACTGCATAAAAA